AAACTGCTCTTTTTCAAGAACAGCTCTTATCAGAACTATGGCTTGCCCAAGGTCATCCAGCCAGGTGCAAGTGGAGGAGTGGGGAATCAAACCCAGTTCTCCCAGATTAGAGTCCGCGCACTCAACCACTACACTAAACTGGCATTTGTCTCTTGAAATCCCTTTGCCAAGCCAGCCGGGTGGGGAATGGGTTGGTGGGTGGGGCCTGGAGGACGCATTTAAAGTTATATCTCTTTTTACCCCTTTTGTTTTTATTTCTGACAGTCTCATTTAATGTTCATAAAAAGTAAATTTGCACATTTGCCAATAAAAAACGTGTGTGTGTGATATTTGTTCATGTCTTGTGGCTCTCAAACAGCTGACGTTTATTCTATGCGGCTCTTACATTAAGCAAGTTTGGCCACCCCTGCCTTAGACGAAGGGTTTCTAGAAAGAACCTGGTAATAGCTGCTCCCGCTCAGGGCACTCCCTGAGAACATCTAGACTGACCCAGGAAAATAGTGGCCACTAGCTCAGACTATAGGGGGTGCTCCTCTCTTCAACCCCCTGAGATGTGAAGGCCCAGAAAATTTCATGGGACGCTGTCTCCCCCCACCACCACCTGGGACATTCTCCCCAGTTGGGAAACTTTATGGAGCACTGGGTGGGGGGGAACTCCTCCAATTTTCCCCCCCTTTGGAATGAGTGGAATGCTCTGCCAGGAAAGGCTTGTTTCTCTCAAAATGTAAAGCGTGAAAATGAGCACTTTGTTTCTTTTCGGTTTTTTTGTACAGGGAAAACTGCCATGCTAAAAAAAAAAGCAACAAAACCCCCCCCCCCCCCTTTTGAAATGCATAAAGTGTGCTAAGGTAGAGTAGGCAGTCTGCAGCTCTCTCGCTCTCTCTGTCTAGTATTTGGTGCATTTACAGTTTTGCTTGTAGGAAACTAAAGGGTCTATACTTCTCAATCCCGTGAAATATGTCAGCTAATCGTCCTAACGACATCGACAGTTACAGATTTCATGTTGCTGAAGCAACACAAATAAGCTTAGATTTGATAAGAAAGTTAACAGTGCGTATGTTTCAATTCTCTCCCCCCCCAAAAAAATTCCCCCCCACGGCACCAACATTTCCAGAAATTCGGAAGAACGTAAAGATAGATTTGGTATACGGTGAATTTGGAAAATATGTTTATGTGATCTAATTGACGTTATGTTATATTGTTTAAGAGACCTTGGATGGGGTCATCCTACATAAGCTTTAAAGTTACTGTGTATAAGTTGGAAAATCAATTTAAAAAATATTTTAAAAAAATAAATTAAAAAAAAACTTTTCCAGAAATTCGGCACCCCCCTTCCCCTCTTTTTTGCCAAAGTGGCCGATAACTAAGTGCCTTCTTTAAGCCTATCCCACAGACTCCTATAGCTCAATACGTTCGCATGCAGGTGAGCCCAGGTTCAACCTCCAGCATCTTCCGTTTTATAAAACGGTTCTCGAGGAGCAAGTATTTGGAATGGCATCTTCCCGAGACACTGCACAGCCAACGCCAGTTCCGATGCAACGGACCCATCGTCCGATTCAGTGGAAGGCAGCTTCATGTGCAGTCGATCCAGGTGGGACCTGGGTGCAGGGCGGCACTGTTGGATGGGGGGGGGGGGAAACGGAGCAAGGAGGGCAAAGGCGAGAAAGGGTCGGCCCCCTCACCTGACACTCCTGGTTGTCCCGATAAGCTGCCAGCGCTTGTAGATACTCCTTTTTCGCTGCCTCTGTTTTCCGCTTGTAAACCTGGAAACGGAAGGAGAGGGACAGTGGCTGCAGCGACCCTCATAAAGTTCTGGAAAACGACAAACTGACACTTGAGATGAGAGCTGGTACGGAATGGACTTTTCAAAAAACTTGGAAGAGATGCTACGATTGGTATAATGTAAATGCAACTGACAAATAAAGGTAGTAATTTGAGAACGCAGAAAAGAGAAGCTTAGCAAAATAGAGAATGAATTTAGAAATCTAACACGCAGAAGAAACGATAAAGTCTCTTGTTATATGTTATATGTTGTGGGGGGTAGTTAGGGGTTGTTTGTGTGTGTGTTTGTATGTCTGTAGTATATAATAGAAAAAATAATAAAAGTGTACCCTTGGGTACTTATTTAAAAAAATAATAAAGTTCTGGACACAAATGGAGAGTTCCTTCGTATGCATTTGTAAAGAGTAGGGCTGAAGCCAATCATCAGTTAAATGGCTACACAGATCCATTAAACACATTCTGTTTTGGTTGGAAAATGCCATTTGTTCGGGTAGGAGATTTTTTAGAATACCTATATAGGCACTGTATCATCAGCCACCCGGTACTGAGAAAACAGCAGATGGCACGCATAAATGCCACCAATGCATATCTGAGCCCATAGCAGGTCTGGCACTTCCCAGGGCATCCCGATCTCTCTCTTCCTGGAAGGAAGACACTAGAGGGCACACCAGAGCGAGAGAGCTAGGAACAGCGAGGAGGAGCCAAGCGCTGGGAAGCGTCCTCCAGAGAGGACCGCGCTGAGTGTCGGAGCCAGCGACCAGCCTGCCGCTCCTTTCTGTGCACGTGCCAACAGAGACAGGAGGCTGGGTGCCTCTGCTTCCTACGCATGAGGAACGGCACCAGGCCCTTCCCGAACTATAGCAAAATGGAATAGAACTCAGCGGGTGGGACTCCGAGAACCTCCGGAGGGCTCTGACCTGTGGGCTGAAGACCCCAGGATTGCACAACAGAGGGAGGAATGGTGACGGAGCACAGGCTTCGTACGCAGGAGGTCCCCGGCACGATCCCTGTTCTCCTTCCATGGGCTTCCAGTCACAGGGCTGGGAGACACCCATCACTTTGGGTGAGACCTCAGAAAGCATCTGCCAATCAGAGCAGACGATGCCGGCCTAAGGCTGGCCAATGGTGTGACTGAGCAGGAGGACAGCTCCGAATGCTCGTAACGGGATGGACCAGAGCAATGATGGTCTGCTTGTCAAGCCGGAGCTGCTCCTCTCCCCGCCCCCTCCCAAGCTCCTCCCACCGCATTGCCTCTCACACCCTCCTGTGCCCTTGGCACTCACCTGCTTCTGCTCCTCCCCCAAGCTGTCCCACATGGAGGCCACGATCTTGGACACCTCGCCAAAGGTGGCGCTGGGGTTCTGCCCCTTGATGGCCGCCTGCGTGTCCCGGAAGAACAAGGCGTAGGCCGAGACGGGCTTCTGGGGCTCGTTGGGGTCTTTCTTCTTCTTCTGCTTCTTGGTCGGCTTCTGCTTCTTCCCCACGTCCAGCACGACCGTGGGCACCGCCATGGGCGTCACGACCGCCGAAGTTACCGGCACGGGTTTGGCGGTGGAGACTTGCTGCAGAGGGGACACGGAGACGGTCGGAAACTGAAGCTGCCTTTGCTGGCGACCACATCACGCCACCCCGTTTCCCCCCTCTGCAGATGCCAGATCTTGCCAGCGATAACTGACATGTCTGTACAACAAAAGGAGGTTCAGCTGGGCTGCCAGTTTTCAAAGAGATGGGAGGAAGTGGCTTAACCACGGAGTGGCTGGGGAAGCAAGCGATATTAGCACGGGATGCTGATCGTTTCAGAAAACAATGAACGGGAAGAGACAAAAACTAGTTTGCGGTGCCTTGCTCCTAAATGCCTCCTAAGTCTTAGAAGGCAGCCCCAGATTCAAAACGTTGAGGGTCAACGACATGGTGGCAGACTGACGGAACTCACTGGGGGGCCAAAGGGAAGTGATCATAATGGGAGGAGCTGAAAAGAGGACCACAGACAAGCCCTGATGGATCAGGCCAGGGGTCCATCTAGCCCAGCAACCTGTCTCACACAGTGGCCAACCAGTTCCTCGGGAGGGCCAGCAACAGGGCAGAGAGACCTTCCCCTGAGGTTGCCTCCTGGCACAGGGATTCAGAGGTTGACTGCCTCTGTATGGGGAGGCTCCTCTCAATCACCATGGCAGGGAGCCACTGATTTGACATGTCCCTCCACCAATCTGTCCTAAAGCCGCCCATGCTTGTGGCCTTGGTGGCAGGGCCCCTTGCTTTGCACACAGAAGGTATCGCAGGGCTCTTTTTGTAGCAGGAACTCCTTTGCATATTAGGCCACACACCCCTAATGTAGCCAATCCTCCAAGAGCGTACAGAGCTCTTCTTACAGGAGCTACTGTAAGCTCTTGGAGGATTGGCTACATTAGGGGTGTGTCGCTTAATATGCAAAGGAGTACCTGCTACAAAAAGAGCCCTCATGCCTGCTAAGCGATCTCAGGTCGGAATTAGGGACAATTTTTTTCTCTGCCCGAGAAGCTGGAGAGCTGCTGCCAATCAAGAACATGGATCTAGATAGACTGACTTAATACAAAGGCAGCTTCATACTTAAAACATCCCCGAGTGAGGTTCAAGGTTTTGGTACTGATCTTTAAGGCCTCGAGTGGTCAGGGACCCACGTATCTCAGGGACCCTTTCCTCTGGGATGTTCCCTGAAGAACACTACGCTCTGCAGAGAACATTCTACTGGTGATCCCCAGCCCAAAAGAAGGGGGGGGGGGGAGGCAGAGGCGGGGGGATTGGATTTATACCCCGCCCTTCGCTCGGAGTCCCTGAGCGGTTTACAATCCCCTTCCCCTTCCCCTCCCCACAACAGACACCCTGCGAGGCAGGTGTGGCGGAGAGAGCTCTGAGTGGACTGCTCTTGAGAGAACAGCTCTGAGAGAACTAGGACTGACCCAAGGTCACCCGGCTGGCGGCATGTGGAGAAGTGGGGGAAAACCCAGTTCTCCCAGATTAGAGTGCACACTCTTAAGCACTACGCCAAACCGGCTCGTTTCCTGCCCTGGCTCCTACCTGGCGGACCTCTCTGCCGAATAACATCCGTGCCCTGCGGGACCTGATGCAGTTCCGCAGGGCTGGCAAGGCAGAGATGTTCTGCCAGGCTTCTGGTTGAGGACAGGGACGGAGACCATCCCACTGGCCCTCTCTCCTCCCCCCCCCCTTTCCTTCTTGCTCCTTCTTGTGGGGCAGTGGTAAAACTTGGACTCTGAAATTTTAATGCCACCTGAGAATGTTTTTATCTACGGATTATTTAAATTGTTTCATTATTTATAATTGTTTCCATCGTTGTGTTGCTCACCGCCCTGAGCCACGTGTATTCAGGGGTAGGGCGGTCTGCAAGTTGAAACTATAAATAGAGACACTTTAGCAGGAAGAGTTAAGAAAATCCCCTACTCTGATAGGTCATGTGATTGTGATTCAGAGGAGATTGAAACAATCGAACATGTATTCCTCTGTTGTAGTTTGCATGATGACATTCGGGCAGTTTATTTAGAAGCTATTCTTAAGAAGGATGTCAAGCAATCTGATGACAGAATGTTGTACCGTTTACTGGCTTCACAAAATATAGTGGTTACTGAAGCGGTGGCTAAGTTCTGTAACTGCCTCATAATGAGGGAGCTGTGTGTTAAACCCATGAACTGAAGGGTGACTGTTTATGATTCTGATCGATGCCAATAAAGGTTTTGAATTGAACTGAACGGAGACACTTGATTCTAACCGTAACGCTTTTGATATTTCAAAATGGTTGCTACGCACGCTTTCTTTAAAATCTGCAATACAGTTCAGTCTTTTAAAACCCAGTGTTAGGGTTTGGGAAGCTAATGGAAAGTGTCTTGCCAAAGGGCGTCGAATGAGTGGGTGGCAGAGTAGATATCTCAACCGGAGGGACTGCCGCTTGGCCACTCGCTTAGGCTAGGCTCTGCCAAAAGGCAAAGGCGCTAGCTGGCCCTATGGCATGGGATTAGGCTTGCCAAGTCACCCTGGGGGGCGGGTAAACCCCCGCCCGAGAGGCCCGTTACCCGATGCCAGCAAATCGGCCCCCGGGGGGGGGACTCCACCCCCTTCCGGCACACGTCCCCAGTGTGATGATGTCACCCAGAGATGACATCATCACGCTGGCCACATTGAGGGCGGGACGCTCTATGATTCGAGGGAAAACTCTATGGTTTTCCCTTGAATCCTAGTGGCCCCGCCCCCAACGTGCTGACGCGATGACGTCACTTCTGGGTGGTGTCACTTCCGGAACGGCACAGGACTCCCCTGCGGTAAGTTAATTTGGACTTGGCAACCCTACATGGGATATATACCAGCAAATTCACGGAAAGACAGAACGAAGGAAAGCATTTCAGTGCTGATGTCCCAGAAAAACATAAAGAGCTTCAAAACCGTGGAGACACACCAGAGATGTGCTGGAGCAGACCCAAAATGGCAGCAGCATGCCACGGGTTCAACGTCAGACCTCTCCAGCCACAGGCCTATGAAGGACCCCTACCAAAATCCCTGAGAGCCGCCACCAGTTTGATCAGAAAGCCTGGGCTTAATGTTGTTTTGGGTTACTTTGCTTATAGCCCCCTGCCTGGCTTAGAACGTCCCGGTTTGGGGGGCTGAGACTCACCCGCCTGATCTCTTCCGGCTCCTCCTCATGCACGGAATTGGCAGGCGAGGGGGTGGGCGAGAGCCGCTCCTCGGGCGACTGGGCCGCTGGGGGCAGGATGGACCCGCCCCCCAGGCTGAGCCCCAGCTGAGAGCTGAGCTCCGATTGGTCGATAGTGGTCAGCTGGCTGTGCCCCATTAAGTCTGTCATCGGGACGTCGATGGTGACCGGCGGGTTGGCGCTGTACTGAGTCCCCATGGGATGATCCAAGTCCTGGAAAAGGGGGGGGGGGGGAAGCATGAAGAAAAAGCCTGGGTCACATCAGAGAACTGAGGAAGGCCGGCAGACCCCCAAGCCCCCCTCGCCCAGGTCCGGGGCCCCAAGCCCTCCGGTGAGGATAGCTGGCCACTCCCACGTCCCCCTCCTCCTCACTGGCCACTCCCACTTTCCCCGCCCTTCGGGACGAAACTGACAAGTGGCCAAAGCCTCTCGCTCTGCTCCCCAGAGCTCCGGGCCGCCCCTACGTGCTCCAGAGGACTCTGAACCAGCAAACTGGGAGCAACAACAGGCGGTTGCGGGACTCCTGCTGGCAGTGTTCCCTCTAAGCTGAGTTCGTGTGAGCCTAGCTCGCAGTTTTTTAGCCTCCAGCTCACAGATTTTTGTCTCGGCTCAGGAAGGGAGGGCTCCGGGGCAAACTGATTGATGCAGCGGCCAAGTCGCCCGCTCACAGCTTTAATGCCAGTGGCTCACAAAGTAGAATTTTTGCTCACAAGACTCCACAGCTTAGAGGGAGCATTGCCTGCCGGTCCTCGTTTCCACACCCAGGGCTGGTGCCCATGCAAGCAGGGCAGACGAGGGGTCCCCATCTGCCCGCCACCAGGGCACTCTCATTCCTTCGCCTCCACCCCTTTCCCTGCATGCGCCCCACCTGCCCACGCATCCCGCTTCCTCTTGCAAGCCCACCTGCGGACACGGGCTCATTCGCCCAGACCACTCGGACAGTCTTTCCTTGGCAGCGGTGGCCAGCGTAGGCCGCTGAGCTGGCTGCTGCCGTTGCCACTGGGACGGCCACCACTGTGTGCCACCCACACATCCTTTCTCAGTGACGCTAAAGAGTGGGAGCAGGAGTGCAGGCAGGTGGGAGGGGAGGTGCATAAGGGTCAGCCACTCCCAGCCAGTGGGCCCTCGCATCTGCCCCAGCTCCGGGTATGCTGGTGCTGGCCTTGTACGAATCCTCCGATGTTTCACAGGCAAATCGGGAGGCTCCAGAGTACTCGTCCTCACCACGCACCAAAGGGGGCTTCCTGAGGGCATCGCCCCTACCTCATGACCAATGCTCCCTCTAAGCTGTGGAGTCTTGTGAGCAAAAAAATCTACTTTTTGTGAGCTACTGACGTTTAAAGTTGTGAACGAGCAGTTTGGTGGCCGCATAAATCAGTTTGCTCTGGAGCCCTCCTTCCTGAGCTAAGGCCAAAAATCTGTGCGCTGGAGTCTAAAAAACTGTCAGCTATCTCACACCAACTCAGCTTAGAGAGAACACTGCTTATGAGACGCTGCTGAAGGTTCGACTAGACCTCCCCATTGTATAACGGAGCAGGACGCATGGTCCTCCCCTGTGTCCTTCTTCCTCTCTTCCCTGTGTTTAAAATATTTACCCCTTTCCGCCTTCCGGAATGTAAGGTGGCTTAGAACGGGGATAAACCAACAATTACAATAAACCCCAAGAGACCAGCATTTAAAATCTCAATGTCAGCAAATACAAATTAGTCAAATGGAATCCTAAACAAAACAAACCCCAAGAGGCCAGAATTTAAAATCTCAATGTCAGCAAATACAAATTAGTCAAATGGAACCCTAAATAAAATTGCCTTCGACTACGTTCTGAGGATTGGAAGTGAGAGGGCCAGGCGCACCTCCCCGGATAAGTTGTTCCATAATTGCGGGGCTGGCACCAAAAGGGCTTTCTGCGCACGCGCACCAGAGGAGCTTCTATAGGTTGATTTGTTGAAGGGGCCTTCAGCTGTCCACAGTAAAGATGGATGCCGACCCCAAGAAGGATGACAGGGACTCTCATCTCCCTCTGTTCTGTACCAAAAACAGCTTCGATTGCACGGTTGCCTCTTACTGGTTATCTTTAAAGGGGCCATAATGCCTGCGGTTGGTACATTTGTCATGCAGGACAGCACCAGCATGAAGCTTTTGAAGAAATGGTGGCTTGTTCTTTCTGATCTGTGCCTCTTCTGCGATCTACAACTACTACGGAGGGCCCTCTCCTTGTGATCTTCGTTCCTGGGCAGGAAGGTATGAATCTCAGATTGTCAGCTGCGGAGGGCAGGGACCCTGGGGAGCCACGTGCCCGAAGGGCGCTAGGCAAAGAAACGGCCAGCGAGTACCAACCAGGCCTGCTAGCCGCTCCCGTCCACCCGGCCCGACACTCACCATGGCCAGGCCGCCGCTCAGGAGCCCGCCCCCTTGCTCCATGAGGCCGTGGCTGATGCCCACGGGGATGTCAAGCGCCTGCACTCCATACTGGGCGGAGAAGCTGGTGTCCTGGGAGGTCACGGGGTCGCCCAGGTCCTCGAAGTGGCCCACCACGTCGGAAACGGCCAGGGAGGGGTCAGCGTCCAGCGCGATGGGAGGGATCTCGAACTCTTCATCCCCCAGACTTGGTGTGTGGAACGTCTGGGCTCGGCAGAAAGAGGAGGGAGGGAGAGGTCAACAGGGGTGGGGGAAGGCGAACCCCCCCCCCC